TGAAGTGGTAGCTAACCAGAGCGTCACTCATCCTTGTTACTCTTCTCTGAGACTTTTCCAGAGCTGTCACATCCTCCTCAGGAAGGGGTAAGGAAACTGCACTCTGTACACAAGATGCTTAGGTGAACACTGCCAAACGATGTGCTTTGTTTTTCTGCTTCTTTCCTTATGATCCCTGCTGTGATTCACATTTTCAACCTAACTATATGAACTTTTTTGCTCCATTACTTGCAGTTTATTTCAGTGCTGATGTAACAGTTATTACAGGACTGAAAGGCAGGAAGATGACAAATACGTTTCTCAACAACCTAGGGGATAAGCTACAGCTGTTTGCTGTCCTCACTGCTAATTTTGTTGAAGCAAATATTTATTTTCAGTTAAAAAAACAAAATCAGACACTTATTACACTTATTTTTGAAACAGGCCAATAGCAATAAATTGTTAAAATGTATCAGCCAGTATGGGAGTTTGCGTGACTTTGTATGATTACAAGACTTGAGTACGCAGAAGTACATCCACTATGCTGTATTCTGGTTTCTCACGCTTCTTTTTTTAGGGCACTGTAATTGGAGGAAGAGAGAGGTGAATTGTATGAGCTAGCAGATACATGAGGTATCAGAAAAGGAGTTTGCTCAGATTTGGGGTCATATGAGAAGTGTTTCAGTGAGTGGGGGTGACTTCATGTTATTGCAAGGGAATAAATGGTGATTTATTCCATTATTTGTATATACCAACACCACGTACTGAGCTGCTGTGTGTCCAGGTCTCCAACTCAGCCCCTGTGCAGCCATCAATCCATGCCCCAGTCTCATCCCTATCTGCATGCCCCTGCTCAGCCATCTTAGGCTGTGCCTGGCTCCATTCCTACATAGTGACAAATGCTGACGGTCTAGACAGAAAAAAAAAGCTGCTTAAAATATAACACTTCACCTTCTCTGTGGGTTTTGTGTTGCAGCAGCATACAAGAAGAGAAATGTCTACTCCTCTCAGCTAACTGCAGGCCAGATTTGCACCCAGATTGGCAGGAGCTGGGTGCTCAGGATAAGAATTGCATTTGCTTACTGTCAGGAATGCAACACACTGTATGCCTGGATTTGAACATTAGCCAAGAGATAGGATTCTTGTGTTCTCTTACATTGCCAGGAGAGCACAGAGGACTCAGACAACTGGCTCATGTGCTCCCTAAGGGATCCATTCTGTGTGTTTTGCTCACTTTGCGCTAGATGCATCTGAAACACACACCAACTTGTGTGTCCCACTGCTTCCTTGGAAAGTGAACAAGTGTCACAATAAGGTATTTAGGAGATTCAGAAATGTGACAGTTTGGATACTGAATGGGAATGAATTGAATTGAATGGGAAATGAATTTGAATTGAATGGGAAGCAGTTTGGTAACACAATAGTTAATAATACTGAAAACATAGTAAGGAACATCCTTCCTTGACATCGCAGACCCTGTGGGAACAAGAAAACAATATATTTGCATAGATTACACATATACAGCTGTGTCTCCCAGCTAGACCAGCCATCTGGAGCATTTACTGTTGCATCTTAACAAGAAGCAAACCCAGCCCCAGCCCATGCAATGCCTACTGATGCAACTGCCCAGGTCTGAGGTTTTCCCACCTTTGCACCTTTCAAAACAGTTTTCTTGGCAGCACTGCCCCTTTTGGGAGCCACCCTGGGCCCTCCATCCCTTTCCTGAGTTCTTTTAATCTGTTTTTCTCAGAGCTGTGATGCACAGAGTGAGCACCTTTCTTTCTTTCATAGAGATACCTTATACAAATTTACCGAGGTTTTGGGGATACGTTCAAGTAGTCAATTACACATGCCTACGTAAATAACACTGAATGAGACTAGAAAATACCTGTATCAAATGAAGTGTTTAAGGACTGCATAACCTTAAGACCCAGGATAGGTAAAGGCATGTTTTTCTTCTCCCTCAATTGCCTAATTCAGAGTATTTCAGGGTTGAAAGCATTTCAGTATGCTTCTATTGTGTTCACACACTTAAAATGCATTTGAAACATTTCTTCTAATGAGATTGTGGTAAAAAATGCAAAGTGCAGCTTGCTGGGTTTTACTGTAAAGTAATACAATCTCCAGATGTGCAGAGACCAATGCAGTATTTTATTTTTTGATTACCCTAAGGAATGTGGTATTAAATTTGCCAGCTCAATGAGAACTCAAATATTTTTTAGATGCATCAGTGGCATACGTGGGAAGGGAGAAGACTAAGCACTGGGTGAAGAGGAAGTAGTTCATACTTCCGACAAAATAACAACTATGCTCTGGTCTTCAGATGGATTGGTCTTTCAATCTTCTCACTGGCTAAAAACATTTAAATTGGGAATAATTTGTTAGTGGCTGATTTCTATTGATAATTCAGTTGCTCACTGTGTACACAGTGCAAAGGCCTTAATTTGGAAGTGTTGGAAGAGTTGACTGATAGTGGTCCAAATTAAAGCTTACATTCACTGCCTACTACTGTTAAATAATTGCCACTTTGTTGATCTTGAAACATGTGAGGTCCCCAGCTAAGAACCTGGGCATAGAGACTCCTGGAGAGATAGATTTGTGGCAGCTGGGATCAGGGCAGCATGGACCAGCAGGATTTATTCTCTTTTTGTACTTGTACAGTACAAGTATTTGAGGACTTTTGATCTTAAAAAAGCTAGAAGTACTAAAAAATACCCATTCAAATAATAAACTCTCTATAATTATTTTATTTTTAAAAAATCCTTTTCCATAGCCTTCAGTCAATAGAGAGTTTACTTTGGGATCCATGTCAAATTTATTTACTAATTTTATTAGTGTAGATTTTGTGTATGTTAATTCACTTAATCATCTTCAGGAGGCACTATGAAAAAAAGAACTCCAAAAAATAAGTGTATAAATAAGAAATACAATGTACTGTTTCCTAACACAATTAGAGGAATGTACAGGAACGTATGTTAAAATAACGTCTATTCTATGCATATGTATAGCTTAGCCTGCTGCTTGGCAAACAAGCAAACGTGATGTGCTGTTGTATTTACTTGCTAAGCCAGGTCTTAATGGCTCCCTGTAAGAATTAACCTATCTTTAGAAAACAGAAACCATGACAAAAAAAAAAAAGTAAATCATGTCTAAGATTCATTCTTCCTATCAGTGTTTTGCACTTGAAGGTTTAAACTCATTTAAGACCAGTTATTTAAGTTACTTTGATTCCAATCAATACACTTAGTTGCAATTAATTTTTCCTCAGAAATCTAGCTGCAGGGAGAAAAATAAATGAAAATGCCAGAAGCTGCAGCTGGGGCACCAAGGAACAAAAAAAGCCTGGCCAAAAACGTGGAATTCATATTTATCACTTACAATATGCCCACAAATTGCTTATTTCCATAAAACCTATTTAAAATTGATCTTCCAAGAGAATAGTTGCATTTTAATTGCACTTGCTTATCATGTTGAAAAACACCTACGTGTTAAATAAAACATCCTTTTACTTTTCTCCCAGATTCAGAGGCTTAAGTACACCACTACTTTCTGGAATCAAAACGCTTTGGTAAACACCTGTTTTGCGTCAGTGTTACAAATACCCTTCTTAAAGGTAACAGCATCTCAACTGACTGTATTCTCAGATATCTGGCTGCAAGATTGAGTCCAGAGGGTGGTGGTCAATAGCCTAATGTCTGGATGGAGACCAGTGACAAGTGGGTCAGTGCTGGAATCAATACTCTGTAATATCTTCACCAGTGACATCGACAGTGGAGTTGAGTGCACCTTCAGCTAGTTTGTGGATGACACAAAGCTCTGGGGTGTGGTTCACACCAGAGGGATGGGATGCCATACAGAGGGACTTAGACAGGCTTGAGCAGTGGGCCCAGGTGAACCTCGTAAGGTTCAAAGAAATCCAAGTGCAAGCTCTTGCATCTGGGTCAAGGCAACATTCACTACCAATACAAGCAGGGGGATGAAAGGACTGAGAGCAGCCCTGCCAAAAAAGACACGGGAGTACTGGTGGATGGGAAGCTGGACATGAGCCAGCAGTGTGCACTCACAGCCCAGAAGGCCAACTGTATCCTGGGCTGCATCAAAAGAAGCACGGCCAGCAGGGCGAATGAGGTGCTCTGCCCCCCTGCTCCGTGCTGGTGAGGCCTCACCTGGAGTGTTGGAATGTGGAGGCCTCAGTGCAGCAGAGACTTGGACCTGTGTGTATCCGCTGAATAGAACACCTCTCCTACAAGGACTGGCTGAGACATCTGGAGAAGAGAAGGTTGCACAGTGACCAGATAGCAGCCTTTCAGTATCTAAAGGGGAGCTGCAAGTAAGAAGGGGACTTCAGCAGGGCCTGTGGTGACAAGGGGAAATTGTTTCAAGCTTAATGAGCATAGAATTAGGTAAGATGTAACAAAAAGGTCTTCTATGGTGAGAGTGGTGAAGTGTTGGAACAGGTTGCCCGGAGATGTGGTGGACGCCTCACCTCCTTCCTGGAGACTTTCAAGGCCAGGCTAGTTCAAACTCTGTGCATCCTGATCTAGCTGTGGATGCCCCTGTTCACTGCAGGGGAGTTGACCAGTTGACACTTGGAAGTCCCTTCCAACACTAAGGATTCTATGATTCTGTATCATCAGGTTGCTGCACAAACCAGGACAGAAACAATCCACTTTTGGGAGTCCCTTCTTTCCATCTCCCTCCTTGGTACAAGACACAGCTGCATGGGCTCATCCAGGCTACAGAGAGGGGCCCTAGGGCTTAGTGGCAGAGGCACACTGGACCTGGAAAGCCCTGCCACATGGAACAGCAGAGCCTGCTGTATTCCCATGATAACCCCAGTGTCCTGCGGTGCTCAGTGGTCACACAGAAACCACAGTGCCCTCACAGGACAGTCTCTGCATGCCTCTGACATGGTAACACAGCTCAAGTTTAACAGCTGATTTGAGCACCTTAAAGACAGTGTTTAAGAAGCCTCTGATATATAACACCTGGAATACAGCAATGAAGCAGTAAACCAAGAACACAGGTACCAGAACTTTATTAGATGTTTCACTGGATACAAAGAAACAGTATTTATTTGTTTATTTATACATTAATACACATTCGTCTCATAAAAATTCACATTTGCTATACAGAACTCTAGGCATTTTTTACACAACATTTATTAAAGTACCATTAAGTAGATCCTAAAAAGAGAAGGTGCAGCTCTGTGAACCTTTGTGGACACAACACACATGGAGCTCCATGTCCTCAGTGTTACACATTCATTCTTCCCACAGAAATGGAGAAAGTCATTCAAATGCATTAATGCTCATTTGGAATAATAAGGCTTCTGTACAGAGACCTGAACATCATCAGGAGGCAGTGTGGCAATAACATCCTAATTATCACTTCGAATGATCCTAAAGCTACTCATGTCTGAGACAGGCAAAAAACATCTGTCCTGACAAGCCTTTCTATTTCTTCCAAAGTTATAACTTTAAGTTTGTATAATCATTTTCAATAATAATACAGAGTCTAGGATTCTGCTTTAAGGATCCCAGCTTCACAGCAAAACTGATTTTCCAGTTCAAAACCACTCCAGGAATTTGCTGGTCAAAGTGACTCTGGCAGAACCTAAAACCAAGGGAAGAGACTAGTCTTTGTTATTCCACTGCAGTAAAATAGTCTAACTGCATCTAAAAGTTAAGAGACCCTCATTGGCTTATCATCCAGTTTGTCTTTAATTTGAAGAGAGAAAGTGTATGATTGACTTCTCACCAGGCAAGGTGAAGTCCTTCAAAGAGAACATGTATATGTCATCTGGAATGTGGAGATAACATCAGATACCAGACAGTGCCATCTTTTAGCAGCCTACTTTGTAAGAACTTGTGAACTGTGATGGTCTAGTGAGGATGACAAACCTGTAATACTCACTTTGAGCACAACACCATTCACCACAAGTAGTTAAGGGATGGGAATGTGAAAGCTGAGATGAGGAACACTGAACAGAGACAAAGGAGAAAACTGGAAAGATGCTTCACTGTAGGTGGACAAAGATAACAGAAGAGGGTCTCGAAGCAGACTTCTGCCTCCCTTCTGTCACTGGTTAAATAAGTCTTGCTGAGGCTGACTTCATGCCAAGCAAGAATGCTCTGCCTACTGTTATCAAATCAGCTAGGCATGAGGCATACTCTTTGTTCTTTACGTCTTTCAGCATCACCCTTAGAATCAAGCAGAGGCATCTCTCACATGAAACCACAAGAGGAGAACTAGATTTAGTTGTAGGAATGGTAGAGGGGAGAGGTCATACCTGTGGGCAATAAAGAGATTTACATTCCCCTTCCTAGAGCACTAGGCCCTGTCAGCCTTCAGGAATTTACTACAACCATTTGAATTTAAGCTGTCAAGGCTCTTAAAAGCAGAATGCTGTAGGTGGGTATGCAAGGCCAGGCTGCATAGCCTCAAGTATTCATCCTTTTTACATAAGGATTTTTACAGTCCTATCTGGATTACAGAACAGATAGGACTGAATTCAAAGCTCTTACTGCAAACTTACAGCTAAATTCCAGTATGGGACATGAGCAGTACTGCACATGAGCATCCAGGCACTTCCATAAAGCCAGGGTACCACAACCTTAACGTCATGTCGGCATCCCAGAAGAGGAAATTCAGACCTTTCAATTGCATGAACATGATTCCTGCTGGCATCAACAGGAGCAGTGTGTGTGCAGAAGTGATTTGCTCTGTACCACACAGGAAACCACATTTTTGCCACCAGGTACAATCAAGGTTGGGCAAACATGCTATTCTCTGTTTATCAATACGTAAATGAGCTCCAGGTAACTTCAAGTTTAACTCCTTAATGCAGAGAAGTGAGGGACTCAGCCCTACAGTCAATCCCCAGTAATGCCAGAAATCAGAACTCATAATTATGGGCTTTAAACAAGATTATGCAAATGCATTAAGGCAGGTTACATAACTGCCCTTTTCCTTTAGGATTAATTATTATTTCTCATACACTGTAGACAATCCATACTTCCATACACAAACATGTCTACAAAACAGCAGCACAGTTAAAACTAAATACATCACCAAACTCCAACATACCTATAATCAATACATTGCACATATTATAGAGCATATTTTAACCTCATCATTGGTAAACATATAGAATTCAGAAAAACATTGACTGTATGTAACACAGAAGCTACCACTGAGATATGGCAAATACATCATATATGCTATTAGCTTTTACTCCACTGAAAAGAGTTTAGAAGTTTAAAATGATGTTAACTGAACTCTTGAAGTCACCAAATAGTCTGCTCAGTTGCTAACACCTAATGCTCCAAATACTATAGTCAGCATAAACAGCACTAGAGCTATATTTTCAGGGCACTCCACTTCAATCTAGCGGAGTTAACTGCTTTTTTATGTCCTTTGCAACACAGCACATACTTACTAGTCAATGACTAGTCTGCCCCCTCTCATCCATACTCATCAGGATAAAACATTAGTAAATGCTTTGAAGTTACTAGAAATGGCCTAGATCTGTATCAGTATGACAGAAGGACTTAGCCCAGCATACAGAATCACACATTCTCTCACACACATGTGCAAATATATTCACATACATATGTATGTGTAAAAGAATGGCTTGAAATGGCAGAACCCACACAACTAGTAACATAACCAACAGCAAATGAATAGCCCCCTGACTTTAAAACTAGGCTCCTTTGGTCTGGTTCTGAGTCTTTGCCCAAGGCTGGACTCATACTCCTAGAACCAGCTGCTGTATTGTTTACCATCAACACAAGTTGTGCCAACATCAAATGAAGAGACCCTCAGCTAGCATGAACTGAAAGATGGAGCTACTTAGCTTTACACTAGCTAAGAAACTGCTCCACTGCCTTTCATCTTGAATTGTATGAAGTAGTTGTAACTTTCCATGACTGAAAGAAAATGTAAGTAATCACACAAAAAGGTCAGAAAGCGATGGTGCTTCACATGCACACATGAACATAGCAAGGGGGAAAATGAACATAGGAGGAGAAAATGCTTTGACAGCAAGCGACATCACATTTTAAATAAAAGGATACTCATGGAGATCAACAGTGTAGACAGGTATTTTTCCTCTGATAGTCCAATTACAGTCTTCTAACTTTCCATGCAGGATCCCTCATAACACACGGGTACAAACTTCTCAAATGAATGAAGTCAGACAACTAGTCCGACCCAGTCCTGCAGTTCTTCTGCAAGCACATTTCTGGATGAAATCAGAAAGTTTTAGCTGCATATGGATGGCAACACGGGCCTCTAGAGTGGTCCAGTTGTGTTGCATAGTCTTTTCTGGCTTGCTCTTTTCTGGCGAGATCTCCCAGATGATATCCAGCTGGGAGTGTATCCCCATCAAGACAGTTTGATTACAGTTTTGGTGCCTTACAGATGAAATCGCCAGGAAAGAGTGGATAGCATGCTTCCCCCCACCTCCACTTTTTTATTTTAGTAATTAAGGCAAGTTTGTTTACCTGTCCCCATCATAAGGTACTGTGCTTCTCCAACAGAAAGGAGATCGACAGCAAAATGAAAACAAATTTTCTGACCAAAATTTAATGTTTTCCCCAATTAATGGAGAAACTATGTGATTTATCTATTATCCTTCTTGTCAGAGGATTGTTGTTTTTTTTTTTCTTTTTGCTTTTATTTTCCAGCACCCAAATGATAATTAGAATACAATGATGCTAAGCAAACATTTCATAACAACGTCAATAAGCTGAAGATATGATATAGCTTTATATTTATTCATATACATAGGCACACACACACACAAACACACGTTTTCTTCAACAAGCAGAACATTTGCTTTAAATACACCCTTGTGTAAGCGAGAGACTTGGTGTGTCTGGTGTAAATTTGAGCCAGGGGTCCCAGGAGGAACTCACTGTTGATGCTCTTAAATCCAACAGAATGTCAGCCAGAATCCAAAAGAACAAACCCGGTTTTTGCTCCATCCAAAGATCCTGACTGTTTTACAGTATTAGAAGGATAGCCTAGATGTACTAAGTAGCTAAAGAATGACAGGAAGAATCTGGAAGCAAGTAAATTCAGTTACACAAAAGGATAAAAGGAGCACTTCACACCACATGTCGAATAAACAAGCAAACATTTTCATGTTTCTCTATGACACACTCCACATGGAAGAAAAGGAAACGCTTTACGAACTAAGTAAAACAGTTTGCACAGGCTTCCTGAACACACATGCTCTGGTTTTACTTTATGTGTCCATTACTTTAATTGACGAAGCTGTGGAAACTGACAACGATGTGCACCAACCCTCCTGACATCTTGTGTAGTCCTGGATAAAAGCACCAAGCTCTACCCCTTTTCAATGCAAAGATGGGCTGTGGCTCTTGGTAAATATTTTAGATCAACTTCAAATGTTAATGCTGTACAAAACCTAACTGGCTTAGATCACAGATTTCACTAAGGATGATTTTTACACTCTTAAGCACACAACTGCTAGTCCAGGAGGCATCATAACTTCCTAACACTTGCAGTCTTTTTCTCTAGAATAGCATTATGGAAGTGTGCATGGATGTCCTTGTATTGTATACATAAATATTTAAAATGTGTCTTCATTGTACAGATACACTTAAATGTTTCTCTGCTGTACACACACACACACACACACACACACATTTTTCAAGGCACCCTCTCTCAGTACAAAATAGCAGCAAGTGTTCATTTTAACCCACTTCTTCATAAAATGATTAAAAAAACCCTACAACAACAAGAACAACAAAACACAACAAAACCAACCAACAAATCCCCCATAACTCATCTGTTTCAATGAGACCACTTTTGTTTTGATAGAATCTGATGGTAGATGGTAATTACCATCGGACAGAAAACAGCAAAGTACCATATGACGCTTTTCTCCCTTCTCACTGAGTGGAAAGTTCCAGCAATATGAATGGAACTTGACCCTAGTCTTATCCTAGAAAGCATATTTCAAAGAGCATTTTCCTTGTATGACAATATAGAATCTATTGGTTTGTACAAATGAAACATTTGGCTTTCCAAAGCTGAGTGTATATGCATTGATGTAATAAGGACATCTGACTGATGGCACTATATCCAGTTAGGTGTTATACAGTGGCAATGCTCTCATTTTATAACTTACTAACTTTTCCATATATTTATATTTTATATGCTTTGTTAAAAGCGCAATGATCAGAGATTCCACTGCTAGAACAGTGCCACTCAACAGACTTCTAAGCTTGCTTTATGCTGCATTATTTCCCACATACAATGTAAGAACTATAGCATACTGTTTTTAGCTAGATATTGAACTACTACACTCTTTAGTACAGCAGTTCTTCACTATGAAACTGGCACTGATTTTTTTTTTTTTAATCAGTAGAGAAATGTTGTATTTACAGGCACTCCAAAAAGAAGTTCACACTGCATCTATTTTTTCTAAACTACATTTTTAATCCTGCAGAAAGCATATTTCTACTATATGACAAAATCCTGCTCATTGATTCCATGCTCAGTTTATGCTAACACAATAAATTTCTCTATTAAATTCAATGGATGTTGGATCAGACTCTCATGTGAGGTTGGTCCTGGGAAGGAACAGTGCTCCAAGTTGGCCTAACTAAAGCCAAGGAAAATGGCTATAACTGCTAAAGCCATGGAAAATGCACATTGGCAGCATGTAGTACAGACTTATGCCATCAATACGTAACTGCTGACTCACTTAACTTGGGGCAGAGACACTGAAAACCTCCACTCTGAGAAATAAAAACAAGCAGGATTTAGTCAATGCTCTGTGCAAGCTGAGTAATGCATTGTGTTTACTACCCAGTGATTATACATGAGTTGGAGCCATGACTTTGTATTTACTTCACAAAGGCATAAATACAATGCATTAAATCACCTAACAGATGAAGTGTAGTGGCTTAAAATTCTAGGGCCATATATATTGTCCTCAGACGCCTGGTGTAATATTCACACCTTGGGAATCCTGCTATGGGCAGTCAGAGGACAACACACATCCCACAGTGCTGAAAGCAGCAAGTTTCTTGGCACTGCTCACAACCACAGAACACAAGAATTGCATTTGGTATCTCATGGAAAATATGTAAATGGTCTTCTCATATCAAACACTGTAAACATGGTTAGTTTTGCTCTTCACGTGAAACACAAATGTAAAAAATGATCATAATTGATTAAAATATTTCCCCTAAGCTCAGCCACTAAAGCCCTAAACACTTCAATGTGTTTTAGAAAGATCAGTGTTCACACAATATTTCTTTTAAAATGCAATCTTTTTTTTTTTTTTTTTTTTTTTTTTTTTTAATTCTAAATAGCACAACAGCAAACATATTGCAGTACTATCAAGTAGTGTCATCTTCACCTTCATCCAGGGTATAGTTGAGCTTTATAACAGTGCTGATAAAGTCACCGAGTTCTACAAAATCTGCAGTGATAATATTCACACCACCTTCTCCTGGTTTCTGAGTTCGGACCCACTGCATCATTGCAGGAAGAGCCCTAAGGAGAAAACAGGAACAATAATTACTCATTAGGCAGTGAGACAAATGCACTGAGGCAGAATTTTCCAATATTGACTCCCATTGATCTCACTTGGTTTCCGAGGGATACACGTGGGTTACTGCTCAGGATTTTGGAAAATTCCACTCTGTATAATTTTTATCCTCTGGATATAGCATGTTTGATTGTATTCAGCTTCTCAGAAGAAAAGAATACAAGGAGGGTCATACAGGCTTATACTGATTACTCACCTTGCATGGGATCGTAGAAATCAACCAGACACCTTTTGATATCATCTGGACCTATGATTCCATGAGAATTACTTATGAAAACAAAGTAAGAGAGAACTCAACGCCATCTGTAAAGCATGTTTGAAGCGTTCAAGGAAATACCAAAAATAGTATTTTCAGAAACCACCATGATTTCTACACTACAAATACACTATAAATACAAACTATACTCATTACCCTGTCTTTCCTAGTACTAATATCCCTGCCATGAACTATAGTTCATAAAAAACAAATGATTAGTAACTGAACTAAAAAGCACCATAGTCCCTTTCCTAAAACAGCATATTTTTATTATGTCAGACCCCTAGTGCTGAGATATGTGTAAAAGGTATCTGTCTAGCTGAAGTATAAAGTAGTCCTTCTGATTCCACAAAAATATAAACCACTGATCATTGGAAATGCTACGGGAAATGAAAGGGCTCCACAGTTCTGCAGCAGCAGTCAAGAAAAAATATCCAGTTTTCAGAAGTTAATAAGGTCAAACAAAGTAACGTACAGATTTCTGAAAGAAAAGGAAATTGACAGTTGGAAGTAAATCCCAAAGATTGTGGTAAGTTCTGCAGCACTTGGAGTCCTCAGAACAAGCCTGGATGCTATCCTAAAAATACACTCTCTGTCAAGCTCCAGCTATGAAGTTAAACATCAGAATCTATGGACTGGATAAACATGCAGTCAGCTGAGATGATCATTTTTTCCCTTTGCTCCAAAATCCAGAGATCAATACTTTTCCCTCAGCCAACATGCTGCACAGATCTTTTCACTGAGAGAAGGTCCATATATAATGCTGGTCTGGCAGCAGTTTAAATCTCAAAAGCTTTACGAAAACAGATATGCAGAAAGAAGAACTATTAGAACTGTTAGCAGGCACAGAATGTAGTGTTAGGGGCCAGAATCAGTCTTTAAAACAAAACAAAACAAAAAATAATTAGCAAAAAATACACACTCATACACAACGTTAAAGTTAGAACCCTCCATGATTTTACAGGAGAACACAGAAAACAAATGTTTTGCTTAAGCAAAGCACATGTATCTATGCGCTTAAATACATTTTAAGATAACATATTTAGGACCAGCAGAGGGTTTTATGTCACACACTAATTCACCAGGACTGAAGCAGAGACATGCATATGCACCAGCTCGTAAAGCTGAGCTTAAGCACTATGCTGTGAAAAAAACTAGCAAGTATATTTAGATTGATGCAGCCATAGAAAGCTGGAACTGCTGAACACTGGAGGATGACATGTGGATCCACTACTAAGATGGCAGGTGCCTTTGTCTTCAACATCCTGTTCAAGCTCTGTGAATCCTGGGTTTAGAGATGAACTGATTGAGTGTTGGCAGGCACAGATTTATTCCTTACGCATAAATTTATATCCTCATTATTTTACTCCCCTATGAAACATAATTGCCTCTTCAGGCACACTTTATTTGTTCTGAATCTGTTCTGACGTAATTTATCTTTTGACCATAGAGCTTCCTGCTACACACTCAGCTGTATACTCTAAAATACCTTTTAATTTTTCCTACTCTTTTGTTATTAGTCTAGTCCTTAGTGGATGGTCACATTCCCTTTGATTTGGGCTCTACTTTAAATTCAGTTTGCCCTGCCACTTCATTTCCAAATAGGTTTGATAGTAGAAATGAGTTGTTTACACTTCACTGATATTTCAAACAGTTGCATGACCCTTGTCTGTACACAAATTTGCAGATAAAGTCACAGAAATCTTTTGTTTAAGAGACTACAAGCATTCAAAAATAAGTCAAAATTGAATCAGATTATCCAACAAAAAGCTTGTTTGCATAGCAAAAACAAAGAATGCATCTCTGTGAAAATACATACCTGAAAAAAAGATTTCACTGACCTTATCACATGTAACTCTGCTTGCGGTAGAAATTTGCAGAAAAACACATACCTTTCCCCATATTCATCCCACAGTGTCATCTTTAAGGAGGATCTACATCAATGACTGCATGAAACAAGGCTCTGCTCAGCTGTACACAGATATCTCACGCGCACACAGTAATTGCTAGAATAAGCGCACTTTAACATTCCTCAGGGTGTCTTTGTGATAGCAGCACAAACCTTGTTCACCCTCCTTTGTAATTTCCAGTCTCTGCATGCCTCAAACTAATAATTATTCTCATTAAGGGTTTTACTAAGAGGAACACAAACCATGCTGTGTGGCAGCCACCTACATGACTATGCTCGCAGAAACCCAATACATACCACAGTCTTAGTGGATTTTGTTGCAGTTTTGATAAAAGTGACAGAGCGTGAGGATGTGCCAGTTACTCAGCTTGCAACTTGAACCTCACAGCACCACTCTGGTGACCAGGGCATAGCTCTCTCATGGAGGCTGCTACTATCCACATCTAATGGTCTCGTTGGGGATCTGGTGCCAATGGTTCTGATCCCAGTCTTGCAAGCACTGGCAGCAGTCCAAACACATCAGAATGTGCCACACCTGTAGATACTAATGGTTAGCATCTTTGCTGCTAGGCAAAAACAATTCTATTAATTGAAGCCATGCTGTCATACTGTAACTACACCCACTTCTACATTGTTAGTGCAACTCACTCTCAATAATCAAACAGAATCACAGTGGTGGCAGTGCCATTGATGCCAATGTTGAAACTGCAGCAATTCAGTCTTCATCTCTCCTTGCAGCATCAGGCAACCTTCAGTCTCCTCACCCTCCTGTGCCTCAAACGCTTTTGCAGAAAAGGACACGCAGTGAGAGCTTAAGGAATAAATCAAAAGTCTAGCTAGTCTGCAAAGAGTGCTGTGAGACTTCTACCTTATGAATAAACTGAGAGGGAAAGTCTCATATTAACATCTACAAACTATGAGCCAGGCAGTCAGAAAACCTGAGCATGCAGAATGCAGTCAGCCCTTCAGAATAGATGTAATCTTGTATCCCACAGCTATAAAACCCAGCACTCAAAGCCAGAATGAAAGCTTTCAGCAGGAAAGGTTTATAACCCCCAATGCTGCGAAATACACTGCAAGACTCTGAACCTAGGACACCGAAGAGTGCTGCTTGCCCAGAACTGTGCAGGAGAGAGGTCAGCTGGTCAGTGTATCTAAGCAAGAAGGAAGTGAGGAGTTTCAACCTCTCATCCCACGAGCTTGCACTCCAGCCTGCTGCCTCCTCCTCTTCAACTTTGGGGCAGCCCACTGTCTCTGCAGGTAAGCTTGGAGGTGTGCATAGAAGATGCAGCTGGGACACAGCCTGCACTAGGCCCCACTGCATCCTGCTGGGATATCTGTATTCCTTCAAAGCCAAAGCTTGTCTCTCTAGATGGCACCCCATTAGGTTGCTCAGCTGGGCACAGATTCCCCAAGATGACTTACATCACTGTCTCCAGCTGAGGAGCCATGTACTTTCTCAGATAGTGCTGGTAGAGTGATTTTTATTTACAACTCTGTGAAACTTAGGCTCAGCTTTGACAGTCACATTATCACCTCTATTTTTTCCATTATGCTTCTTTGTTCATACAAAAATAAATATGTGCCGGTGTCTTTTTATGTTTTTCATTTGTTTGAAGTTTTTCACTTCTTCAAGAACTATTTATTGACATGTTTGAGAGCTGAACTGAGAAACCCTGCCCTAAACTTAAAGACATGAATAGACCTTTCAAAGCTATGACTTTTCTGTTTTTCTCCATCTGTGAAAGATCTCAGGTGGACTCCAACAGAACTAAACTCTGTTTAAAAAATAGTAATACATTCAAGAAGCATCAGTTCAAGCAGCAAAACTGAGAGATCCATTATAGCTTTCAAAAAGAAAATATGATGTAACTAATTACATTAAAATTTGCTTTAAAAAAAATTGTTCTTTGGCTATTTTAGTTGTGCAAGAAGGTAGGATTTTTTTTACATGTCTGAGTCATCACAGACTGACAACAGAACATTAATGGCAGCAGATCTCCATGACAGGACCTCATGTGGGGAAAAAGCCATTCCTCTGCACAGAGCTTTCAAGAGAGGAGGAGAAGCAAGTCTATGAGCACAAAGCAAAAGGGCTCTTCACTGTTTAGTCAGAGTCTGAGCCCTAATCAGCAGACAACAGATTTGCTGTAGTGATGTACGAAATTACTAACCCACGCAGGTATACTGGTCTCACTTCCAGATTGCAAAGCTAGCATTAAATGGCCATTACTAGCAACACCAGAGAGAACTGAAGTGGTACTTCTTGCTCAGGATGAAAGTGCCATGTGGCATTTCTTTCCCCTCCAGAAAAGTACACAGACTTTGGCAAATAAGTGTTACTGTTAAAAAAAAAACCCAAAACTCCTCTGCAGGTGGGTGTACATATATGGGCCAGAATTTGAATCCTTACACCTTTTCCTCCCTGTTTCATTCAATTTTAATCATATTTGCAAGAACAGCGATTAATTCTTGAGCCGTAAGTCAGTACGTGCTGACTTTGGCTTTTCAAGGATGCTGAGAATTCATTGCTCCAGTGGGAGCTGTGGATGTCTCATGTGTCACTGAATCATAAAAATCATGACTTCCAAAACCTTGAAAAGTTGCTCAAGTACATCCAGCCCATCTTGAGGCAGGATCAGCTACACACAGATCAAATATACAAACCAATCCTAGTAAACATGCAGCTTACTCTGTTCTTACAAGCCTCCAGTGATGAAGATTGCAAAACCTTCCTCTGTATCCATAGTATTCCTATGTAAATATCCTCATACATTCTT